TTGTGAATATTATGTATATATATATATATATATATATGTATATACATAGTGAAACCTCTGTGAAGCGGACATTCTTGAGACAGAAAAAATTGTCCGTTTATGAGAGTTGTCCTTTTAAGGCAGTGTTCCTTAGCCTTTTTGATATAATGGACCCCTTTTAAAAAATTTTAAGAAGTCACGGACCACCCCCCTGTGAAAAAAATAATTGCAAAGAACATCAATTATTAGAAAACATTTAATTTTATTATTTTAATAGTATACAAAATTTTTAAAATTAAAATTTTTAATGTGAAGGTTGCTGCTGCTTTTCCGTAATTAATAAATTGCATTGGGGGATGGTTTTCGACAAAGCAACGTGCATATCATGTTCAACATTCAATAAATTTCGATGTTATGTTTTTATTGTCACAATTGTGGAAAATCCCGCTTCGCAAAGATACACTGTAGCAAACGGAATTATAGCTGCCATAGCTCACTTTACAATCAATGGGTAGGCTTTCAAATGTTTTAAATATTAGTAGTCAGCGGACCCCCAAATTATAACTCATGGACCCCTTAGGGGTTCATGAACCACACGTTAAGAAACCCTGGTTTAAGGGAAGGGTAACCCTAATAACGAAGTTTTACACCGCCAATTGTTATTAGAATGCTTTCAAAGATATAGGAAATAATTAAATAATCTTCAATAACTATCTGCAAGGATAGTTATTTAAATTTAAAAGAATATTTTTTCGATAAAAAAGAATATATAAAAAAGTTTGATAAAAATACATAATTCTAGATGTAGCTACAAATGAATATAATTTTCCGATAAGCACAGATATTCTAGTTAGACATATGATACCGAATATGAGTGTTTAGTTCTCAGTCTGTTTCATTATTAGGTTTACATTCCCCAACACCTACCTATCACTTGATAGGAGACATGGTAAATACCTCCTTGAAAGTAAACCTCCCACGATTCATAGAAAAAAAAAAACAAAGCAATGCATACATGTAAGTCATGAGGACCGCTGAAGTTGATTATTCAGAATTGATCATCTATCAAGTGTCTGAATAAATATGCTTCATTGATATGAACACCTAAAAAATTATACTTCTGTTTTCTTTTTTTTTACACAGTCTTCAAATTAATAAGAAAAAGAAAGAAATTTTCAATGGGGAAGAAGCATTACAAGTATTTAAGGTATCATTTTGACTTGATGGGTTGTGTTGTCCAGATGAAAAGATCAAAAGATGCAGAGGTCCGAATTATTTCACTAGAGCAGTATCATTGTCTCTCCTTTCTTTGCAAAGATAAGGCGCGGTGACAGGGAAAACTTTAGTAGTGAAATGACTTAACAATATTTTTAGTAATGCATAAGCAAAAATTTTACATGCTTTAAAAATAGTGAAAAGTTGAATAGATTTTTTTTTTTTTTTTTTTTTTGCAATTTAAAACAGAAATATATTTTCTTCAAGTTTAAAAAAAGTAGTGTCCGGTTTGAAGAGATGGAAAATAGCGTTTCAGGGCAAAAATGACAGTCCGCGTCTAGTTACGGGAATGTCCGCATTGCAGAGAATGTGCATAGTGGTTTATTCATAGAAGATTCCTGGAAAAATAAAAATATGTCCTTATTGAGAGGCGTCCGTTTTGCAGAAGTGTCCATAACAGGAGGTTTCACTGTATAATATGTATATATATACAGTACAAACCCGTTATCCGGAAATCAGAAAACCGGAAAACCAAATAACGAACAAAATTTGATAAATTTTCTCGCCATTTTTGAAAAAAAAATTTTTTTTTCCTCGTAAGATTTTACGATTTTTCTTTCTTTTTTTAAAGATGTTTACCTTACCATCATTTTGGAAATAATCATTAGTGTATTACTTCGTTTTTTCTTATTTTTAAGATTATTTCCAAATATTTTTTTTTTTAGTTGGGTTTAACAGTAAAAAAAACGGCTTTTTGTAGCGATTCAGGAAACTGGAAAAATCAGTTATTCGGAATAGCGATGCTCCCGACCGTTCCGGATAATTGGTTCCCTACTGTATATGTATATATATATGCATACATATATATATATATATATTTATATATATATTTATATATATAAATGATAAGTGTCGTGTACATTTCTAGCAATTATAATATTTTAGCAACAAATACATGCATGACATTTAATTTACTTGGTACTTAATTCGAACATTTATATTAAATGTCTAACTCATAGATTAGGGGCATGGTAAAGAAGTGATATTTTACACATGCATTAAAAATGTGGTATCAGAAAAAATCTTTATAATGTCATTTTTTGGAGAAGAGCCCTTATTAATGCCCAATTTCCAATTTAAAAGAAATTGAAAATTCTTCAGTTGATAAGATTTTTTTAATATTGTATTTTCATTTCTATTAGTAATTAAAGAAAATGAATGCTGTGAAGTTTGGTATTGGGTTGACTACAAAATAAATTTTTTTGGTCTTAAATTTCAAAACTTTTCAAACTGAACTAAAAAGAGTTGATGATGTTCTTAAGTACAGACAGTCAAACTCGTCTATAGTGCACCGCCTGCATACCCAGTAATATGTCCACTATAAACGATGGTTCACTATCAAAATATTAAAAAAAATATGTTTTAGCATGTGATAATTGAATCATTGAAAATAAGGATTGCAATTTTACATAATTTGTTTAAAAAATTATTAATAAATTTAATAGATAATAAATCAATCTTGTAAAGAGAAAATAACTTCCTTACTACAAATTGGTTTTGATTTTACAGTTTATGAAAGAAATTAGTGGTTTTTGATTGAACACAATTTGATTTTTCTCCAATTTTTTTACTTACGATTCTGGATATTTGTTGCTTATTTTATTTGAGATATAAATGATGTTGATATTTCATTTTCTTCTAATAAGTCAGCTTCCTCAGCTTTGTTCTTTTGTTAAATTTTGGAGACAATGTCACCATTGGTAGAAGTACCAGAAATGCACATTTTATCATTGCAACATCCAAATTGCTCTGTAAAATCTCTAGGAAAAATGTCTCTTCCTTGTTTTTCTAGCTACAGAGTGATAGGTAAATTGTCTTCAATCATTTCTGTCCTCCACATTGAAAGTTCTAAATCCTTTGAAAGACCTGTGTGTCTGAAACAGTTGTGGAGTGTTTTTGTTGGTGTTGATGATTTTCCTCCATGATTTTTTTAATAAAATGATTGCTTCTAGAAGAAAGATGGTGTATTCTGTGTCTGTGTTGTTTTCTTCATAGCTCTTAAAACACATCACACTTGTTGTCTTATAAAGTGGAACTTCAAGCTGCAACACAGAAGTCGTATTTGTATTTAGAAATACAAGCTTGATACACTTTAAAATTTTTAATAGGGTAGAGCTGTGTACACCTGCTAGTTTAAAGTTGCAGGATTGAAGAAAAAGTAGCAGAAATGAAATTAGAGTTCACAATAACTGAACTAAAAATTTCTCAGCTGTTCACTACAAGCGCTAGGACAAGACCACTAAAAAGTTCACTACGACCGAGTATTAACTGTATCCCAGGTTCACTATAGGTTTGACCAAATTCACCAGGTTTGACTGTATAATGAACTTTCCTAACGTTGCTTCCTTTCCAGCAGTATCTCATAGTAATGCAAATGTGAACATGTCTTCATTACTCTGTAAAAGAACAATACACAGTTTCACTCATAAGTTGTGATAAATATATCTGAAATACCATTGTTGCTTTTCGTTTTGTTTTAATAATGTATTTGCCTATAGTTTTTGAGCATTTATGAATATGTATTTGTACAAGTTTTTTTTTTTAAATTTTTTTTAGGAAAGATCCATTGTGGTATCCAGTCAAAGCACTGAAATTGAAACTCATTACATGTGCAATGACATGTCTGCACTTGTTAATCTTATGTTACCAAATGAAATAGTACATGATTCAATTAAGGCTAATACTCGCACAAAAGCTGATATTTTTGCAAATCGTGACAAATCAAAGTCAATTGACTCAGAGCTTTCTTCAGGTAACTATGAACAGTTTATTTTTAATTAAAAGAAACTGGATTTATTGTATATTTTGACAATAGTGATCCTGCTGTACTTTCCAAAAAGCCAGTCCTTGAGACCCAGGATATTCTGCATCGTTTTTTAAAATATATGTATTAAAAATAATCAAAATTTCAAAACTATTCGTAAATCCGTAGCGTTAACCATCGGAAAAAAAGTGATCGAAGAACTACATTAATTGAAATTTGGTGCATCAAAAACTACAGTGTGCAATTTCAAATTTGTGAATTTTTTTTATTAAAAAGAAATTAGAATTATTTTTTTTCATTTTGTTCAGGTTGCTGCCGTGGACCGCACATCGAGAGTTGGCGTATTGTACACCCCTGGTCTATGGTAGTGGAAAAAATCGTCAAAATCATAGAATAAACATTTATAAACAGTTTAAATTGTGTCCCTGTAAGTTTTCATTATTGACTAATTGTTGCTGTTCTTTAACATGAGCATAAAAAGGGCTTGACAATTTGCTTATTTTTGCTGAGATACAAAAATTGTTAAAATGTATGCTTAGGTAATATTTTAGGGGCTTCTATTCTGTATATTATGAATATTATTTATATGATTATTATAGTATGTTATTATATATCTTTAATAGGAAGAACATTAAATCCATGTGAAGATGAAGAAAATGATTCGGATCCTGGCATTCCCATTGGAAGTGTCTGGACTGAATGTCTTGATGGTAATGCAATAACACCTTTCTACACACCTTTATTTCTTTATTTGATAGTTAGCCAGTTTTCTTTTTTCTTTTAAATTGGACAAAATAGGCAGGGTTTGGTACCTAATATTTATGATTTTGTTCAAATTTCCAAGATGTGTTCTTTAAGTAAATTTAATAAAAGCATATATTTTTATTTTTATGAAAAATTTTATTTTGTTGCTGTGTTGGGAAGTCAAAGATCCTCTATAATTTTAAGAAAAGCACTTCTATTTACATGCATGTGACAATATTTTTTGTGAAATGTGTGAACTATGTCACTGGCCATTTTTTTTCGGAAAGTGATTAAAAATATCTTTTAAGTGCTTAAAAGGTGCTTATTTTTTGTTGAGAAATCTGACTATGCACCCTGTAAGCAGTGTTATGAAAGAAAATTTTCTCAGGCTGCTTTAAAAAAAGATAACTTGCTTTCCTTTCAAAATCTTAAATTTATTTGAGACACTAGATATGCTTTGGATTGTGTGTTTTGTGATTATAATTTATTAGCTTTTAATTATTTAAAATTTTTCTGTTTTTATCAGTCAATAAAATCTAACATTTCTTTGCCTTCTTGCTCTTCTATAATAGTTAATTCTTGGTTTAAAATACACTTTATAAAATTAAAATTTTGTGTTAAATTTAAAGTTCACTCTTTGAGTAAGCGAAATATCGGTTGTTCGTCATTTCACGCATTCAGTTTTTTTTATTTTTACACAAGATTTTTTTAAGTTCGCAGCTATGTGAGTGTCAGTTTTGATTTGTATATACTGATGCTAGCCTCCATCTCAAACTTTATACTCTCCTCGCAGTTCGTGCTTTGTCCTGGTCTTATTCGGTTTTAATGATTTTATATAAAGTATGTGGCAAGCTAAAAAACTTAAGTAAAATAGGTGCTCACAACATCCAAATATTACCTGAACAACAAATACTTTTATGTTTTCAATTTTTATAGTAAAAGTCTAATTTATGTAGTGATATATGGAAATGTATTTTAATTTCCTGTGCATTTTTGGTTTTGTCATACAATTAGCAGGCCTGGTCCCTCTTTAAGCCCTGGGGAGAAGAAATTCCAGTAGATAATGCACTATCATATAATCTGCAAAGTATATGGCAATTTGTTAATTCCCTTATTGCAGCAATCTACTTTTATGTATGAAAGAAATAACGTACATAAGTCCCTCCTACTGGCATAATCTACATCATATGTAAGCGAATCTATGTCATATATAAGCCAATTAGCATCAGCAGGGAAACATGATCAGAAACACGATTATGTTTAAGTTTGTGTTTACCACGATTATATTTACTTGCAATAACTGGGATAAAATTGCGTATGCAAACAAGAACCTGGTACGTCAGTTTTTCAGAGATAAATATATTTCGTCAATAAGGTTCCTCACATCTCCGGATTTGCATACAGGAATTTTTCGCATCGAGTGTGAATGGTTCCAATGACACTTTTCTGACTGATGATGAGCTAATATCGCCATATTACCTACAGTGCTGATTCTCATGCTTTTTAACAGATAATCCGCGAATTATACACCTGAAATTCTGGTATTCTATTTGTGTAAAATAAGCATTAAACATAATTTGTCTTTGGTTGTCTCTTCAAAGTGAAGATACAAATTTTTTACTTTCTTACAGATGACCATGTTATCAGAAAAAATGCGTTTATAAGAGATGATGATGATATAGCTCCAATTGGTAAACACTTCCTTCTTCAAACTGAAGATCAAGATATAGATGATTTTTTGCCATTTTCATATTTAGATGATATTGATTCCTACTCATTTTCATTGGATGTTGGTGAAGGCTTAACAGATCTGTATGACTGTGGTTTTTCTTGTCCTTAGCTTTTTGCTTGTCAAAAAAGGAAAAAAGAGACTAAAAGAGATTGTAAGTTTTACTTATTTTTGCAAGGGGACATTATTGCTCTAGAAAAATTGAAGTTTATAGATTTTATGTGTTTTGTTAACTATATTCCCTATGGAACTACTATACTTCACACAAAATATGTGCCTTCATCTATCATGTTTAATTTTTTTGTTTTTGATGGAAGTTAGTTTATCTGTAAATCAAAGTGCCTTCCTTTTTTGTTTTTATCACTCACATCAAGCTAAATAGTTAAATATGTATGTTGTTTGCATTTAAAGTTTGAAAGTATATTTTCACCATTTTTTTGAAAGCTCAACCATATTCTAATAATTACTAGTATTGGATTTTTATTATCAGGAATTAAAAAATTTTAAGGATACTAAAAGTACAAATATGATTATGGGTGCTAGAAATTTGTTATCCTTATGGAATTATATTGTAAAAACACTTTTTAACTCTCAAATCGCATTATTTCAACAAAATAATATAGTAAATGAAATAAAAGAAGTATACAAAAGAAATAAAATTGAGTTATCCAAAATTTCAATTTTTGAAACTAATTAGGGGAAGAAAAGAAAGAAAAAAAGAAAAGAAAACGGTGCATGATATAAACAGAAATAGCAACTAAAATAATTATATGAATGTCATCTTTTTCTTGTAATTTTATTTTCCCTTTTTTCAAACACTTACTAAAAAAATTAAGTATTGTTAATGATGTAAAAGAATAAGATGAAGTTTTTATCCTCATTTCATACTAAGTGCCTGTTTGAACCAAAAGAATGAATCTCTTTCCCACTGTGCATGGTTACATATGTTTTTGGAAAAAATAATTATTTTGTTTTTAAAAGAATTAATTTATTCTAGTTTTAAACATATAAGAGAAAAACATTTGAACTATATTTTTTAAGAATTTCATCTTTAAAATTTTGATTTAGCAGAAGCTTTCCCCATTTTCGTCCTGTTTGCCTTTTTATTGTTTTTGGAACTTATTGAATTTTGTGTTTGTGTGTGTTTCTTATTAGATGATCAAGATGCTTGTTTGAAAAGTCAAGATTAGGATTTTATAATAGGATATAAGGAAGTTAAATTTAATTATATAATCCTGTGTTTTATATTTAAATAAAATTACAGAATGGAAAAATTTTAGGTATTTCATGATTTATTATTTCAATTCTTAATTACTATAAATTTATGAAAGAAGTTGAAACTGCATAAAATTTTAAGCAATTTCTTTTGCATTTTTGTCATGAATCTTCTGCAATTGTAACTATTGGGTTTGGAAGGTATATGATTGGTTGAGCTAAATTTGTTGGGGTCAGAAGTTCTCTAAAACTAACACATTTCTTATACAAAAGTTTTGCACACGTTTTAGATATAATTAACTAGTGAATTTCGCAAAAGATCTATATTAAATGTATGTATATATGTTATTTGAATTTTTGGCTGAGTGGTATTAAAAAAAAGGCTATTTTGGGTAAAATTTAGAACATGTATTACCTTTCAAAATACATCGTGTTCAAATAAAAAATCCTTCAATTAATCAATTCTATCTAGAAAAATTTTGCAAAATTTCAATTGGAATTTGTTTCTAAAAAATTATATCTACCAACATCATATTTTATGAAAGTACAGTGGGAAGTTTCATATCTGGAATTTTCGGAACTTCGGCAAATATGAAACATAGATTTTTCTGGATAATAAATCTTTTAGGTAAATAAACATTAAAACATCCTTAATTAATAACAAATAAACAATTAATGTCAATTTCAGTCAACAGCACATAAATCCATGTGGTTTGTGTTCTTGCACTATTTTTGCAGCTTTTGTTACAGATTTCCACATTTTTTTAAATCTTTATATTTTAATATGCCATTATACCATACCCTCAAATTTCGAATCAAGCATTTCAGTTAGTTATTATTTCTTAATCCACTCGATCAGCTACGATTCTACAGTGATTCTGTGTAGTTTTGTAGATGGTTTTTTTTTTTTCGGTAATTGTTAAGACGGATTTTCACTTTGATTTAAAAATCTCAATGTTTCAAAATGTGACATTTTTGTGCATTTCGAAATTTAGAGTGCAATTCTTGGCAATAATAATCTTTTTATGCAGGACGTGAAAAAAGTATGCAATTTTTTTCATGCAGTAGTGAAATACCAGATTTCCTTTCTGTGATATCCTATTTTTTTCATAGTAAATACACTCAGTGGAGATCGAATTAACAGTGAACAAAAATCTGTAAATCGGCCATAAATCATAAAGAATTTTGGGATTCTCATCCCTGCATACTTTTTTTTTTTAACAGGTCACAAATAAAAGAAATTTTGTTTTTTTTGAGAAGTAAAAAGAGTTTTGTTTATTTTGATTGTTAAAAAGTATCCCAAAAGAGACCTTCCAGTAAACAAATATCTGGGTATGGGAATTAGTACTATATTATCAAAGTTGACTAGTTGAGCCTATCGGAACTAGCTTCCAAAGCCTTGTATTTTTTATTGATTGGAGACTATGGAAAAATAATCCTCAATATGCACTGACTTTTTTGTAAAATCTTAACCCAAATTGTTGAGGAATAAAAATTTTTATTAAAAAATAAGTGAAGTTGAGGAAAGAAAAATTTGTTGAACGAACTTTAATTAGCCTTGACAATACCAATAAATAGATCAGGCTAATGTTAATTTTCAACCAATTAATTATTTTCAAGTTAAAATTTGATTTTTCTAGGTTTTTGTTTTGCCAGAGCAGGAATTATTGTGGGAAAGAGATATTTATGTTTCAATTACTTTTTAATGTTGATTGTTTATATTTAAGAATTAATTGTTTTAGGACATAAGAAAATAACATGTCCATAATGTGTGATGTACTCATACAGGAACAGTCCTAATGAAATCTAAGATATTCTGTAGATTTTAAATTTAAATGCATATTTATTTTAAATGATGTGTTCTAAGAGTTATTATTGTTCTTATTGCTAACAGAAATTGTTTTATGAAAGTCTTAATTATTTTAGTATCTTAAAATGTTTTTTTTTTTTTCATTGTAAAATGTTAAATTTTATAACAATTAGTTTTTTTAAAATTGTTTTATGCACATTATCTATTTTAATTTTGACGGTTCATATTTATATATTATATCTAGCATTTTAATGTATCCAACATTTAAATGCAAGTCAACAATTAAGGAAAGACTTGTGATGCAATGAATAGTGGTTTGGCAAAATAACTGAATATTTGGTACATTTAGTCACGGAATATTCAAATTTTCTTAATGTGTAATGCATTTATATGACATACTTGTTTTTTTTTAGTATTCGACTGTTTACTTAATTATTAAGCCAAACTGATTATTTGCTTTTTAAGTCAAATAGGCCTTAATAGCAAATATTCATTGCATCTCTACTACGGAATTGTTCAAGTAATAGGATTCATTCCAGTAAGAGGCAAATAGAAAAATAAGATGCTGAAGTACCCAATATGTTGATTTTTTAAAACTTTTTTGTCTACAATAAATTAATTTAAATTGAATAATTTCATTTCATCAATTATTTCGAATTATTTATAGTACAAGCAATGTTTGTTTGTTTGTTGCATTTTTTAATGTTATGCATTGGATACCATAATAATCTACTGAAAAACTGACATTAAAAAAAAAAAAAAAACAAGTTATAAATATTTTTTTCTGTTCAAAAAATTGTCAATTAATCACATGAGTTCAAAAATTGCTTATTATAATTATTGATGAAGTCTTAAGATTCTTGAATTCTCAAAAGTAAAAATTATTCAAAATATATTTAAATCAGTAAGACACTTCAATAAACTGGTTGCTCACTTGCAAATTAAATCCTTTTAATGTGAATAATTTATTTTCACTTTATTAAACTGATTATGTGGTACTAGTTTATTTATTTTATTTGTTTGTAAATATGTGTACATTAAATACACCTTTTTTTTTAAGTACAAGTATTTTTTTCTTTTGTGTAAGGAAAAAAATTAAACTGTAAAGATTTTGTATTTCTTTTGTTCAATGTACTGTGTTATTATGGAGTACAATTTTTGTGGCTTACTGGAAAATAAAAAAATATATAATTGAAAAAAAATGTTTTTTTTTTTTAATATTAAATTTTTTGTTTTACATACTTTATTGTTAATTAGAAACTTGTTTTTATTAAGTTATTATAATTTTTCTATAATTAGAAAAATGTTGTAATTTTCTTTACCTTATAATACTCTTTCTTTCATTCATGCAACAAATCAAAGAAAAGTTTAAAAAAATTGAAAGATGATTCAACAAATCAAATTCTCTGAATTTTCAAACTTCTCTTATGCTTTATTTTTAATAGAAATAGGCAAGTTATTTTTAATAGAATAGGCAAATTTAGAAGTCTTAAAAAAGCACTATTCAAAATTATTAATTATCTCGTTAGGACTTGATTTTAACAATGTTAAAAAAAAAGGGCTCCATGTCGTAGTTCAGTTTTGATTTTTGTCTATGTTTTGAAAACATGTAAGTGGCACTTTTGGTTGCTTTTGTTTCTTCCCATAAAAAGGCAGAAATGTAGTGAGCTATTTATCATTAATGATAGTGCTTGCTTTTTCTTTTTTTTCTTTCAAGCTTTTTCTAAAAATCCTGATGCCAAAGTTAATTGAACAAAATTTATACTGTTAAAGTTATTAATGTGTACAAAAAAATTTACATGTTACAGACTTCCTTTGGTTAAAATTTTTTTTATCAAAACTGAAGCCCATTTTTTTGTGTTTTGTAAATTCTTGTAATAATATTTAATAATATATGAGCTTTATGTTATGAAATGTTACAAAATATCTAAATTTATTTTTGTATTTCACAAACTTTAAAGTAAAATAAATGCTATTAAAATATTTTGTTATAATTTAATTTGGAAAAACATTTTTGAATTTTTAGCTTTAGAAATGTTAGAAGTAAGATATTTACAGATTTTAACTTCTTAATTATTTTATATAAGCTGAATTATCTTGAAATGTAAAATACTTTGGTGATATCTCTTCGGCAGAATGTTTAATTTTCAAACTGTATAATTGAACTATACTATATTAGATAAAACATTTAAACAATTATATTGTACCATATGTATCCTTAACTGTGTAAAATCTATAACTAAACTTATTTTAATTTATAAGACTGAACTCCACTGAATAACTAATCATATTTGAACTAAAAAATTATTTAGTTTTGAGGATTTTTTGTTTTCCGAGTAAGTATGATAAAACTAAAATTTAATCAAGATACTTAAATGTGTACAGTAGACTCCATTTTACCTACGGGTGGATTATCTAATTTGTTGTTTATCTGCTGACAGTATCTGGGAAAAAAATCTTTGAACCTGTACTAAATTCATGTAAAATTTTTAAAGAATTAATATTTTACCTGTAAGAAATTCTTTTCCATAATATTTGTTTTACAAGAAATTCTATTTCATTATAGTCAAATTCTGTCCCTAGTTGCAAAATATTCAGGAATGGAATCTGACATATAAATACAATTCACATAATCCAAAATTCACAAAAATGCAATTTTTTAAGATTTAATATCTTGCCTTTGGGATATTATTTTTCATAGTATCATATTATCTGCACTGAATTCTATCCCATAGTATTTTGTTGGTGTCAGACTCGGTCCCTAGTTGTTTTGTTGACGCAAAAACAGAGTTTTCACTTTGAGTTACTTTGGGTGCATAGGGTTAATTACGTTGATGCTCATTACTTGTAAATTATATTTAATTTTAAGGTACAAAGCAGCTTTCCAATTATCACAAAATTTGCTATAATAATTCTTCATTTTTGATTCATATTCAAAACATTTGTGCAAGCATTCCTTATTTTCATAATTATGTAGTCATTTGTGTGTTTCTCATAATTTTATGTGAAAAGTAACTGTTAATATTTATTCCTTGGTTAATACATGCTGCAACAAATGTACAATCAGATTTGTATAAAAATTTATTGTAACTTTGAATTAAAAAAAAATGATAAAATTGAGTTTTTTTATTAATTTCTTTGATAATTTATGTATAAGAAATTTGTATTTAAAACTAAAGATTTCTTATAATTTAGTGTAAATGTGTTATGTTTTTTGGATAAAGATTTATATAAAAATTGTTGCAAGTATCGTTTGAGTAGCATGTGTTAACTAAATTTTTTTTCTCATCAAATATTTTTAAAAATGTATATGATGTATAGAAAATTTACCTTTGAAATAACAAAAATGTCTTATAACTTAATTTTAATGTGTTAGTGTTTTTTTATATACTCAATTTCGGGGATTTTTTTTCCAATTGTACATATTTTGTTGTGTCATAGTTTGTATTTAGTTGTACTTGATTTATTTCAAGTGAAATTTGTTTACCTGATCATCTTAGTTTTAGATAACTAATTTCATTCATCCAGTCATCCTCTAATTTCGTTTACCTAATCGGTTTTTTTTCCAACTTAATTAAATTGCCATTATTAAGTAATTTATTTCTAAGTCTATTAAACTAATATTTTTTGTTTTGAGTTAATATTAAATGTTTAATAATATTTAAAAGTATTATAGTTTGTTACTTGCTCTTTTTGTTATTCTTAATAATCTATTTTGATTGATCATCCAAGTTTGATTTCAAGAATCAATGTCAAATTCAAAGAATTGGAGTATTGGGCATTGCTGTAAAACAAAAATTAAATTAATTACAAGCAGAAGAATCTCACGTATATCTAAAAATACATCTACAATTTTTATTTTTACTTTAACTTGTTTATAATTTTTTTCTTGAACTAATCAGTGATATTTTGTTATTAAGAAGTGATTAACTTTTTTTTATTGACCAGTTTAGTTAATCTGACATTTCATTAAACTACTTTTTTAGATATTGCTAAATGAAGCAAGTTTTTTTAAAATTATAACTCAAAATTTTTTTTCTTTATTCTATAAATAAAGTTACTGATAATATAAAAGAAGGAAAAAAGAGCATGTAACTAAATGTGCACTACATTTATTTATTTATAAATGTACATGCATCAGAGAAAATTTCCGTCCTTTTGTTAGTAAAATTTAAGTTTTAAAAATGTGATATTTAATTTTAATAGCTTAATGAACCTTAAGTTTTTTGAAGTTTAACGTACAACCCCATTTACTCCTAATCATTCTTGCTCTAGTCATTGCTAATAGCATATCATCTTCCTTGCTGGTAATACCTTTTGTTTTCAAACAGTTTTGATTTAAACTTAGATTTCTTAGTTATGTTCTTTAAGTAATACTTCTTATCCCATTTAGATGAAAGTTTTATGATTATTGAATTTTATGATATATTGATATTATGAAATTAATGTGATGAAAATAATATGATTTTTAAGACGATAAACTCAGTTATATTGAGCAATGTTTAAGGTATATATTTTAGTAAAAATGGGAATGTTTTGTATAAAACCCTTTTACTTTTGTTTGATAGAGCTTACAAGGGAAAAATCTTAAATGTTCATGGAGTTTTGACATTTTCTTTATTTTAAACAGTGCCTCAATAACTTTTGATCTAGATTTACATATTTTTATTAGTTTTGAATATTAATTGTGGTTGTTAGCAAGTATAACAATGTGTTTTTCTTCTTATTTTTGATTCAAACAATCTAGAAATGAATAAGCTAGAACTTGCTGGACAGCTCGAACAATACTCCTGCTAGCTGTATTTTGATTGTATGTAAACAATACATTCACTTGTCTTTAAAAAAAATTGTTCTTGTTTTACTTAATGCGTCAATGTTGATGAAGCAGTTAATGGAATAATAATATTTTTACATTTTTTATAGTGAAATAAATCTATTTATGCCATGAGTTAAAGTTGTTGTTTATTACACTAAAGTAGTTGTTCTTCTCTCTCTCCTCTTGAAAATCTGAAAAAATTAAAGGCCTTGAGGCAATGCATGATTAGCCATTTATCAAGGTATCATTTTTACATCCAACTGCTCCTTATTATATTAATATTGTTTCTTGATTGGTACTTTTTTTGTTTCTGGATATTTTATAATAGTTTACTGGATAATACTATACTGGATAGTTTTGCTTTAAATCGTATTATTTCTCAGAGGTGTATAAATATATATATATATGTAAAACAAAGACAAAAAGGATAAAAAAAGAATGGAGAGATTAACGAAGAAAATTAATAAAAATAATAAATTTTATTTACTGCACAGAAGTTGCAAGTGCATAGAACTCATAAAATAAGTTAAAAATAAATAGTAAACATGGAAGAATTGTAAAGATTTTTTAAAGGAGAAGAAGAAAAAAAATTATAAGAATAAAATATTTTTTAAAAAATAAATAAAAAAAATTAAAATGCTGTAAAACAAAATGAGGAAAAGATATAATCTCATCATCAGCTCACACGATTATATCTGGAAGAATGAGTGCTTTCTAATATTTAATGACAAATTGTCACCCTAGCTTATGAAGCGAGTTACCAGAATTTTTTTTAAACATTATTTTGTAAAGAGGGAAAATAAATAAATACCCTGTTTATGTAAGATTGTAATATGCTTGTATGTATTTAAAGTTATTTGTTTTAATGATTGATTATTACACACAATTTTATTATGTACATATCAACAACAAAAACATTTTTGACTCTTTCTGCAGTGGATAAAATAATTAATTTACACAATTCATGGTCCATCTAATGCAAAGGCTTTAGTTTTTTTTTTTTTTTTTGAAGCCCAGATAGTTAAAATATAAAGGGTAAGCCAAGAACATCACTGTCATAGTCTTTAAAATCTACTTGGGTGTATAAAGTTAAAGAATGCAATAAAGTTGTAAAATAAAATTATTTTAAATAATATAATAAAAAAATTTCCGATGTAAATTATTATAAAATTAATTTTAAAACATGGGGTCTAAAAAAAATCGAGGAAAAATAAACTTAGAAAAAATCGCGAAGCCGAGAAGGAACGGTATGTTCAAATTGTTCACAATAATTATTTTTGGAATTTATTTACATAAATAGTTAAAATTAACTTTTCAACTTAGTCTTTTTGAGTTTCTTAAGTTGCGTTACTTACTATTAGCTTAAAAAGACTGTTTTCTTAACTTCTAAGCTAATATGCAATTTTCCTGGCATTCAAAATTTAGTGAATTTCTATTTTATTTTTTTTCTTGAGCAAATGTCAATAAACTACACTGCTGTCTGTAAGATATTAATAAATGTACAAAATTTTTTTTTAGATTGTTTTGAAGACTTTAAATTTGGAGAAATTTTTTTCTCCAAATTGTCATGTTTCCAAAAAATCACCCATATATTGCTTCATATCTCCCCTTATTATCGACCTATCATTTTCAAAACTCGGTCAGATATTATATTGTAACATACTATACTACCATACCACAGGAAATAATTATAGACAAATTAGGGGACCCACAATGTCACCCAATATCATTACATTGACAAATCACTTAAAAAGCTTTTTATAAGTTCGACAGCCAGATGGACCGGTACGGTTTATAAGTGTGGAGCAACAAATTGTTTGGCCTGGGAGTCACATGCTCTAAACAATGTGGCAGTCAATTTTTAAATATTATACTTAAAAATAATATTTTTTTAAAATTTATTTTACTATATTGTAACATAAATAACATATTCCTTTACTTAGTGATAAGATTTTTTTTAAGTGTGAATAATAATAAAAGTGTTGCTCATATAATGTACAATGAGCAAAAATAAAAGATATCACCCTGAATAACTTTCATTCTAATGATCAGGTTTTCACCTACTAAATGTTAATCTTAATGGTTTCTGGGGGTGACTTCAACTATGCTAATTAATTAGTGCTAACTATTAATTAAGGTGCGAAATCAGACACAAAAAGCCCTTTCTCTGAATAAACATATATTTTTTTCATATATATTGGATTCCTGACCCAAAATAGGGGGGGGGGGCAGACAAAATCTTAAACAAATTGGATCAAAATTTTATTCACTACAGTGACTTCAAACATCTGATAAAAGAAATCTTAAGTTTTGAAATTATAATTTTAAAGTTAAAAATGACTTCTTTATTTCAATATAGGTGCCACGGTTTTTTTAATATATTTCTCAAAGATCGCATGAACTCTGTAGAAATAATAATTAAAAGATGTTTGTTTCTTTCAGCATACGATTCTGATCAAAATAATGATCAGGAAAGATCCATTACACTTGATGGCTTCAAAAAATATGAAGAAAAAAAAAATAAATAAATAAATAAACGCCCATTCTTAAGACGCATGACGAGAATGGATAAAAAAAAAGTGATATAAAACAGAAATGTGAAGTCGCAACAAGAAATCAATAAAAATGGGAAATAAAGCTGAAAAAACCGCAGTACCACAAGAGTGAAATAAAAATAAAAAATTTAATAAAAAGAAAACTAGAAAAACCGCAATAGCAAGGAAAAGCAAGTCAGGGCAAAATGCATTTCCACGTTCCATGGAGAAATGGTGTGAAACTAATATCGCTCACAAGAAAATCGGCAAACATATGAACAAAGCAAGATTATCGGGTATCAAGTTGAGTTGATATGGCAGGGGTGGTTAGAATTTTGGCGTTATCAAGATTAAATTTATCGTATTCCTGAAAAGTGACTTATCTTCCGTGTCCCTTTAGTCTTTTGAGCACGCTAAACATTTGCTTCAAACGTTGCCATTCTCAGGGCTCGCTAGACATTAATGACTCGTGACGTGAATTTCTGAGTGCTCAAAATATGTCGACTTTTATTTACTTTTTAATGAAATTTTTATCTCCCCGCTTTAGTTTCTGGGCATAATTCATTTAATGACACAGTATATTAAATTAAAATATTTAATGTGAAAATAAAATTAGTTTGACGTAAGATAATGTTGTTGTAGTTCATTTACGTACAATGTAGGTTACGTATAGTGTAGTTCATTTCTGCACAATGGGCCATTGGCGCGACGGTCTGGGAAACATCCATGAGGATGATCCGAAGACATGCCATCACAATTTTGACCCTCTGCAGAGGGGATGGCTCCTCCGCTTCGGTAGCCAGACGACCTGCACGCGAAGTCGAGCATTTTACGGTAGCACAGTTTAATGAGGACCAATACCGCACACCCTCGGTCCCTACGCAGACTGATCCAAGTGGTCACCCACCCGCACACTTTCTGCAGCAAGTGATGCTTAACTTCGGTGATCTGCTGGGAACCGTGTCTTAACGATCAGTCCACTGCAGGACGACGTAAGATAATGGTTTTGGCTCTTAGATTGAAAAAAAAAAGAAAACATAATAATATATAATTCATCAAACTTTCTAAAAAATTTAAAGCTGTGCATTTTTATTTATTCATTTATTAAATTTTTTATTTAATTTTTTTCATTTTATTTTGTTTTATTTATTTATTTTTTGACTGCTGCTATGAAAAACATTTGCTAGGATGTTAAACAATTCCGTCTACAAGTGAAATTTCAAAAGTCGAATAAAACAATGGAATGACCCCTTTCTCCTCCTGGAATCAAAGTTAAGTAGTTACAAGAGTCAATTATTTTGGACTAGTTAACTTCTCCACCCAAGTCGAAATTTTTGGAAAATAAATTTTTTATTCATCGATCCAAAATCTATTCTAGATATGTTTTAGTGTATACTTAAAGACATAGAATTTATATGTAATTCAATAGAATTTATATTTTACCCTTTATTTTATTTTTTTGCTAAATAACTGAAGTTATATATAATTAAATGTATGAATATTAAGTATAATGGTAAACAGGATTTTCACTACTTTTCCTCATTTTTCCTGCCGCTCTTAACAAAATAAAAGAAAAAGCTTAATTTCTAATAATTTTAATTGTTTTTAACTGTTTCAAGCAATTAAATGTTACATCCAAATAGATTTCAATTGTGGGATTAATTATATCATTGTCACGTTTCAATTGAGCATAAATGAAACAGTAACATTCTTATCTTTTTGCGGCGAAATAAAAGAACTATTTCTATTTATAATTTCTAAAAAAATTATATTAAAACTATTTGCTAAACATATTAATTGCATGCATAAAATAATTTGTTTTCCGAAAATCTCCTAATATATCTTATTTTAGCATTAAGGAAATTCCAAAGTTAAAAAAAGAAAAAAATTTTGAGATGATAATTATAAAAATAGCACGGTTTTGGCACTTATTGCAATTTTCTATTTTTAGTATTTTCTGTTTACCAAAATAAGGCATATGGAGCATTTTCCTGACAAAACAATATTTTTTTGAACAGTGCTAAAGGTGAGAAATAATAGTAACAACTTTTAAAGCAAATTTTTTCTATGTTATCCCTTTTAAAAAGGCAACTTTTTTAAAGTAAGTGAGCGAGATTAAGTTTGAACGTCAAAATAAAATTGTATGCCCATAATTTTTTGTTCGTTTAAAAAACAAAACAAACTGTTGTATTTTTTGCTGTGCACATATACGTATTTACTTTACATTCCTCAAGCAAAAAGAAACGATAAAGGAGACAAAATGCACCGGTAGGGTTTAGTATTGTAGAACAATTTGTTGCTCCACATATTGTATTGTTATATTTTGCTTTGGCTATATCAATATAAAATTAGAAAGCACTCATTTTTACGGATATAATCATGAGAGCTGATGGCGAGAATATATCTTTCCCCAGAGTATTCTATTTTAATGAGATTTTTTTCTTCTCATTTAATAAATCTTTATTTTTTTTCCATGTTTTCTGTCTGTCCTTCTCTCTCTCTCTCTCTTTATATATATGTTTTAGCCACTCTATTATATATGTATGTGCATATATGTATATAAAAGTATATATGTACATATATACATATACACACACA